GACTGTTGCATATGCATGTGATTGTATGTATGTGTGTGTGAATTTTGGGACAAAATTCTTTTTAAGGGGGGAAGGATGTAAAACCCAGAAAAATTTAAACTTTTTCCGACAAAGGGCAAAATAGTAATTTGCCACTATTATGCAGATTTAAAATAAATATTTTATAGAGCTCGGATGGACCAACGGACTTCACCGTTGAATTTGCATTGCGAAATCTAGCTGTCCTATCAATTTTTGTCGAATTCTGAGATAGTCAAATTTTTCATGTTTTTTGAGGTGACGGGCGATGGGTAGACAAACTCCCAAGAGTGTTGTGGGCTTACCAGATGACACTAAGGAGCCCCACGGGCAAGACCCCTTTTTCTTTAGCCTATGGGATAGAGGCGGTTATACCCATCGAGATTGGGCTGCACTTTCTTAGGGTCCAGCACCATAACCCTATCAGTAACAAAGAAGGCCTCCGCATCAACCTCGACTTGGTAGAGAAGGAGCGGGAGATAGTCATGCTCAGGAATACAAAGTACAAGCGTCGCATGACCAAGTACTACAACTCGAGGGTAAAGCCTCGCTCCTTCTTGCCCGGGGACCTAGTCCTCAAAAAGGTCATCCTGTCTACTAAACACTCTCGAGAAAGAAAATTGGGACCCAACCGGGAAGGACCCTACATGGTCACGAAAGTTGTAAGACCAAGCACTTACAGAATCCAGAATTTGGAGGGAAAAGCCCTATTCGTGGAATGCGGAGCATTTAAAGAAATACTAATAGTAGCTGGGGTCAAGGTAGTGAGTGTATAAGTCAAGTAGTCACAGTTTAGATTATCTATTTTTATTTTAGTCAATTTCCCTTAAACATTTACTTTGAATTAGAAAATAAAATTTTGCAATATTTTTTCAAAAAGTTGTATTTCATAAAAGTTCATGAAGATTTTACAAAAGATAAACATTACCTAGCAACAAAAACATAAATACAAAGATATCATGCTCTGAACGACACTCATTGCCTCCGATCCCACCATCGCTCGCGTCCTTCTTGTCATCAGTCCCCAGAGCCTCAACAAGTAGAAAGCCAAAAAAGTCATAAGTGGGAAAATTTGCTAAGACATTTCTCTTGAGCTATTCATAGCCATCAAAGAAGGCGTCTGCCTTGGTCCTCTCAGTAGCATCCCTCTTCTTCGACATCTATATGGAGTAAGCCTCTGCCCTTGTAACTCTCTCAAGAGCTGCTCGAATGTCAGCCTCTAACACAGTGGCCCTCTCATGGAATGCTCGCAGCTAAGTCTTCGTAACCTCTCTATCAGCCTCCAACTAGGAGGCCCTCTCGTGGGACCCTAAAGCTCGATCTCAAGTATGGTAGCTCTCTCATGTGCTAGCCTCAACTGCTCTGCGGCATCCTCTCGTGCCTATCACTCGAGCCCCAACTGCTCTTCAGCAACCTTGCATCCCTGTCTCCCCGCTGCCTGACCATCAAGTGTCTCCCTGATCTTCAGCGTACTCGAAAACAAGCAAGGAAAAGTAGAAGCCACCTACAGGCATTCAAAAGTAAAATATAAAGGAGAAAGGTCAGGTATAAAACCAAAGAAGAATGCAGTACATACCAAAGCAAAGCCCTCCATGGCAGCATTAACAATGCCCTCTAGACCTTGAGAGGCAACCTCCTCAATCTCCGTACGGGTCACAAACCCCCAAAGCCGGTCCTTGGCCAATTTCACGTCCTGCAATATGGATGCTTAGATACTACCAGAAGCAGGATGGCTAGGTGGAGCCTTCGTCCAAGTAGGAGACTGCACTGGGGCCACAGCCCCCATAGCAATACTAGGGCCATCTATAGGCGGTGAAGGAATAGCAACTGGGGAAGAACGAGGGGCATCATCAGGTTCTGCCTCTCGGGAACCAGCCCGCTTGATAAACCTCGGCTAGGAAACACTGGGGGCATCAAACTTAGAACTCTTTGAAGAAGGAGGAGAAGATGCCGCCCTGGAAGAGTAGACAACCTCCACCACAACTCTATCAATGGAGGCACTTGCGGGATCGGTGTAAGATAAAAAAAAATGCCCTACGAAGTTAAAGAGTTATTGGAGAGATCAAATACCTTTCCTTTTTGGCCTGAGAGTAGCCTTGGAGTTACCTGACACGGACATAATTCCTGAAAACTCCTTGTACGGATGATCACGTACCATTTGGAGTCTACCCTCTTGTTCCGCAGATAATGTCGGTGGAGCTACAAAAAAACCAGCTAGACAGTACGAGCAAGTATTTACAACTAGAAGTATAATTAAAGGTGGAGTCCTTACCTAGCTTGGTCTTGGGAATGTGTCCCACCCCAAAGGTACTAGGTCACGATCACTCTCGGTGGCTTAGTTGCCTCCAACAAATAAGAACTTAGTCTTCCAGCTATGAAGATTTGAAGGAAGCCTAGTGATGAACTTCCCCACCCTCGGGACAAAATGGTACCACCCCTGATTAGGAATGACGTTCTCCAGGAGCACATACGTGGCCAAGAATTCCTTGAATGGTAGAGGGACATCACCACTATGTACCAGCCACCACAATGACAAGAATGCTAGTATCACCCTTCACCCGTTTGGAGCCAATCTCCCTGGAACTAGCGACAGGTGCCCCAGAACCTGACATATGGGCCCAGGTATCAGAAACCTCAGGCTTGCCTCCAAGATATCTTCACAAAGGACAATCTCACCAAAGGAGTCACAACCAATTGACTCGTCCTCCTCCACCCGACGACACAGGACATCAGGAGGAATACGTTACGAAGACACTATACTAACAATATCCTTGTCCTAGTCAATGGTGCTAAATATGGAGACTACTTTCAAACCATTATCTCTAGCAGGCCCTTTGCCTTGTCGAGTGTCTCAAGTAACCTCCCTCATGATGTGCGCGTCAGAATGAGTGTCTGCCAGCAAACAAAAACCATAATAGAAATCGGAGTTAATGTCAAGAAAATACTAACATCTATCGAGTTGGACGATAGGAAATTTGCTCGTTAAAGAACATCTTACCCGACTGAATGTGTAAACCCCAACACTCTTATCTTTATATAGTAAGTAATCAGTTATTTTTGAAATGCTAATATGGTAAAATCCGGGTAAATATATGAAATCGTTTGTAATAGAATTTGTACCAACTATATTTGATGAACAAATTTATGTTGTATAAGTTTGGGTTGGTTTTGGAATGGTTAAAAGTGGATTGGAAATGAAAAACAGGAGAAAGGGACAAAACTTCCAAAGGGTACCAGTATGCCGAAAACCAGTAGTCATACCGTACCGGTATGCGTACCAGTATGCCGGATAGATTCCAGAAATTTTAAGTCGTGATCTAGGTCCGATTCCTTCCACTATAAATACATAAAGACGTCCCATTTAGCCTTATTTCAACACCTCAAACCCTAGAAAACCTTAGAGAGGAAGAAAGGAAGAGAAGAACACAAGATAAAAGGGGATTTGTGCCTTGGATTGAATTAAAATCCTATAATGCTTCAAGAACACTAAGGCAGGGGTTTCTTTCTATTCTCTTACATTGAGGCTAAGGTTTACTTATATATATTCTTTTGACTCTAAATCTTATTTATTTGTTAGTAAATCATTGATTCCTAATATTCTTGCAAACACTATCATGTTTTAAACAAATCTATGGTGGGATAACCATTAAATCTCTTCTTCTTTACTCAAAACCCTAGTTTTCAAGAGAAATGGATTTTTCTATTGATTTTTCCTTTGTTCTTGATTTCAAAACTTTAGTGCTTTATATTGAACCACAAAATGGTATTTATGATGATTTCTTGCATATTTTCTTAAATTGTTCTATTGGGATACTACTTGTGAAATTTGAGGATTTTTGAATGTATTTGTGATTGAAGAAATTGATTGGATATTGTATCTCTTGTGGATGTTTGGATGACCATGGGTGGCCGTTGACTGGATATCATAGAGTTGGTTAGATGCATATCTTACTCTGTGTGGATTGAAGGTTCCCTATCACTCGTAGTGGGGTTGGTGCCTTGCGAGGACCAAACCACTATTCGCTTATGTGGTATCGAGACTGAGGGTTAGTATACTATTCCTGGGTTGGATTCATCATTGCCATGAGTTGGTATACGCCCTTCCTAAAGGTTGAATATCCTTGCGAGGATTTGAGAGTGTGTGTGTGTGGGCTAAGATATTCTCGATGTGTTTATTTATGCGAATCATGCATCATACCTGAGATACGAATACAAGTTGTGGGTTATGGTTTATTGTATCAAAAAAAATTTCCTACAAGAGCTTGTGGAGGTATGAGACTCTATAAGAGCTTGTGGGAAATGATTTACGGTTGAAAATGGTTTATTATACTAGAAATGATTTTCTATAAGAGCTTGTGGAAGTATGGGATTTTACAAGAACTTTTGGGAAATGGTTTATAATTGGAAATGATTTGTTAACTGTAATTTGACATTATTACTTCATTTAATTTATTGCTATCGTGTAAACTTGAGATCTATTGAAATGTTCCTATTTTCTTTCAAAAATTAATATATGATATTTGCGAAATGAGACCGACTTGCTTTACATATTTTCTAAACCTTGTTCGAGTTTGGGAGGAATGTTGCTACAGAGCTTAGTGTTCACCCCCTACAAACAATATATTTATAGGTTACGTGTTAAAGGAGGAGCTCAGAGTCGATGAACGGGTGCATTTGGAAGCTTCGCTAAACGGGCCCGTAGAACCCGAGGTGGATGCTTACGACTATATTCTCCTAGGTGCTACACTAGGAAATTCCTTTTGAGACTCGGTGGAGTCTAATATTTTTGTTATTCCACTGCAAGTTAAATTTGATTATTTTGGATGTAATTGCCATGGTTGGGCATATTCTTTTGGGATGATATTGTAAATATTCGATATGATGAATGAATTTTTATTTATTGATGGATTATATTAGTTGCTCCCATGATATGAATGGTTTAAATTGTAATGTCGTCCAAGGTGATTTTTGGGGCTTTATAGAATGACATCTTCTCTTTGCTTTCTGGTACCCAAGCGCCCAAAAGTGCCATCGCTACAGCCTATGCCCCATCGGGAGCCACTTGAAAGCCCAGGTGGAAGGTCGCCCATGCCTAGCCCACCTTCGGCGTCACCCGTGGCCTTACCTGGCGTTGCCAGGGTTGCGCCTGGTGTTGTCTTAGAACCAGCACCAAAGTCGCCTCCCTTTCAGTAATGAGCACTTCCCATGGCCCACTTGCCAGCCATAGCCCCCACCCATGGACCTCTCGATAGCTATGGCGTCGCCCATGGTCTCCTCGCCAACCATGGCATCGCCCATGGCGTCTCCAATGCTCCTTACACCACCCAATGTGCTGACGCTTCCCTGCACTGAAGATGAGCCACCTTGATCCACCCCAAAGAGGGCGCCGCCCAATGCCTGGGCCAACACGCCAAATCGACAGGTCTCTCCAATGGCGCCACCCTCCCACTGCCAGCTGTTTTCTCCATCGTGGAATCACCACTAGATTCTTCTCTCACCTCCCTCAACCTCCTATCCTTCATTATCATTCATTATCTTAAAAGTAGATTCCAATAGAAGCCTTTAAGAGTAGCTTCCAAGAGAAGCCTTCAAGGGTAGCTTCTAAGACAAGCCTCCAAGGAAAAGAAAAGAGGAAATGGAATGGGGAGTCCTAAGGCCTCTATATATAGGCAAAATTTTCTATTGACGAAAGACCTAAAAAAAATGCAGTCAAATACAAAAAATGTCCAGTGTTAATGGATCTCAACGAAGTCTCTGGAGACAAAGGTATATCATGGGGAACAAGAAAACTTATGTTCGACCAAGTGAAGAGAAAAATCATGCCCTCAACCCACCTTCTCTCACCAATAGTCAAAGGCTTGGGGCATGGGGGGCAAATGAGGAGCCCAGATCTGACAAAGTCAGGCCCAATAAATCAAGCAAGCCCAAGTCAGCTAAAAGGTAGACTAGACTCGGTTCACCAATCCGACCTAGTCCAAGATCTGAGGAGCCCGGGAAGATAAGAGCACGTGGGAGAGAGATTATTGGGATGCACACTCATGAAGATCAATCCTATATTAATTGCACTTACCTTTGGTAATTATCCTCCCTGAAGAAGTAGTGCCCTCTCCCTCACATCACCGCCTCACTCATTGCCTCACCATACCTATAAATTATAAGTCTTCTCCACATGAGAGGACACAACTTGGTATCTCACCAAAACCTCTCTACACACATAGCTTCTCTCTTCAAGCTATTTTACTTCTCCCGAAACTTTCTCTCCGTTCATCAATTAAGAACCACCGGCCACCGTTGTCGTTTCTGAGAATGAAATAGGTCACCCAGACCGAACCACTATAAATCTGTGTGTTGACTCAATATTTACTATTTTGCCATTGATTGTTTTATTTATTGTTCATTAACTACACATCTTCATACATTCAACTATTGATCTTGCAGGAGTCCAATTTGTGCATCATCAATATTCTTGTAATGGTTCTTATGAAATGAAGTCTCCGATAAATGGTTTCCAATCCAAAGATTCATAACCTCAGGAAGACAGCCAATTGCTTGAAAAGCCCAAGGAATGTCTGATTCACAATCAGCAGCCAAAGAAGAGTACTCAGAACGGAAACAATCGGTCTATTACTGCAAGTAAGCCATGAACTTCGAGTGTTCATTTGAATTACGTATAAACATGAGAGCTTCATCGAAAGGCGTAGATTGGACATGGGCAGAAGCAAAGGAAAGGGAGGAGGGGGTGGTGGGGTAGGGGTGAGGGAGTCGGCACGGCCTGTGGGGGTGAGGTGGAGAGAGACGACAGAAGAGGAAAATGTGTAGAGGAGGTAGGAGGTGGAGGGCCACAAAGTGGTGGATGGCATTGAAAATGAAGCAGGGTTTGTTGGGGGAGATGTAGTCGCGGAGGAATTGGAGTGGGGTTGGTGGCACGTGGAGGCAGTCTATGGTGGTGCCGCCTAGGCTTAGCTCCCTCACTTTTTCCCACAAGATTTTCATTTTTTCTTCCATGGTATGATAAATAAAATAAGGGCAATCTCTAAACACCCTACACCAAAACGTTTGGTAAAATTTCATCCACACCCCTTAGTTAGATTTAAATTCAATAACACCCCTTTAATATTGAAACTTCACTACGACCCCTGTCAGTGCTTGTCGATTGTTGATTTACAAAAATACCTCTCAATATTTTATAAAATAAATTTTATCCACAACCCTTAGAAATAAACATAACTTTAACAACACCCCCTATAAATAGACTTAACTTTAACAACACCTCTCTCGATTCTGAAATTTTAATATATATTTTTTTAGTTATATTATATTTGTCTTTATGTTCATCAATTTAATATTTATTTTTATCAAATTAATGTCATTTATTTAATTTAAACTAAATTAACATTCTATCTCATCAAATCAACACAAAATTGATATTTAATTTTATCAAATTAGCATTTAGTTATTAATTTAATATTTTATTTCATCAAATTAATATTATTTCTTTAATTTAACATTAAATTATTATTTAATTTCATCAAATCAACACCAAATTGACATTTAATTTTATTAAAATTAAAATTTAACCTTATCAAATTAATGTCATCTATTTAATTTAACACCAAATGAACATTCAATTTCATTAAAACAACATTCAAATTTATTCAATTAATATAAAATTTTATCAAATCAATACTAAATTAATATTTTATTTTATCAAATTATCACCAAATTAATATTTAAATTCATCAAAGTAAGAGCAAATTTATTTAATTAATATTAAATTTAATCAAATAATATTTAAATTTTACATATGAAAGGTGATGTGTGAACAGTGGTCGGGTGATGTTGGGGAAGACAAACGCTAGTAGAAGAACTAGAAATGTAAGAGATTTTGACATTGACTTTATCGATTGTAATTTTTATTATAGGAAAATTATTTTTAACTATAAAAATTATAAAAACTCGATTATGTAACCAAATGAGAGATAATATGATGGTTTCTATTATAACAAAATTATCATGCAACACTTTAAAATGATAAAAATTCATTGGGATAATATAATGATAGAAGTAATGTTTGTTGACTGGTTAGAGCATATATAATAGGGAAAAAATTGAGGGTATTTTAATCTATTTACATAACAAATGGTAATTTCAGTATTTTCACAAAATATTTAGTCAAATCATTACTTTATCTACTGGTACAGACAAAAGTTATCTGATGATGCACAAAACTGTCTCGTGTAAGATCAACAGTTGAGTGTGTTATATGATGTAATTAATGGACAATAAATAAAGTAATCAATGATAAAACAGTAAATATCGAGTCAATACACAGATATATAGTGGTTCTATCTGGGTGACCTACTCCACTCTCGGGAAACGACAGCGGTGGCCGAAAGTTTTTATTGATGAATAAAGTATGAGAGAGAAAGCTCTGCGAGATATGTGCTTTGGGAGAGGTACAATAGCTAGGAGAGAGAAGCTGTGTGTTGAGAGGTTTTTGGTGAGATACCAAGGTGTGTCTCTCCATATGGAGAGAGCTTACAATTTATAGGTATGGTGAGGCGGTGACGTCAGTGTGACGGTACTACTTCTCCGGGGAGGATAGTTACAAAAGTTAAGTACAATTAATTCTCTTGTATCCATCCCGATGATCTCTCCCCCACGTGCCCATTCTCTCATAAACTCCTTAGATCTTGGACTGGGCCGAACTCACGAACTGGGCTTGACCTGTCTTGTAGCTGTTCTAGGCTTATCTTACCAATTGGGTCTGACCTAGTCGAATCTGGACTCATCATTATCGGATGTCATTGACTTGAAAGAATAAACCAGAAGGGTGTGTAATGAAGTTTAAGAATTAGGAGGGGTGTCATTGAATTTAGACCTATTCATAAAGGGTGTGAATGGATTTTTCCATAAAAATTTTCAATCTAAAAGTAATTTTGATCATGCACTTTTTTCTTTTTTCTTTTTTTTTTTTTTACTTTTTATGATATTTTATTTTTAAAAATTTATATAAATTCCAAAAAAAAAATTAAAATTAGAGTCACCCCTAACCTAAATCCACCCACTATACACAAATGGTTATGTTGGGTTACATATAAAATTATTAGTTATAACCTTTACATGAATAAAGGTATAATATAATAAAAATTTTGAGTACTCAAAAAATAGGTCACATTGTACCAAATAGTAGTTTTTTTTGTCTCTTCTTTTAATTGCATAATTTGAAATTAATTTGTACCCGTGATTTAAAAAAAAAGATAAAATTTTTTCAAAATATATTATCTAAAAAACCTATCAATATATGTAAATCTATATCTATAATATAAAACAGGGTATCTACAACAAATCCACCATACGGTCTCAAATTCATTCGTTCAACAGTCAAAAAAATTAACATTTTATCCCTTAATATTTTACCCCCAATTCCGTCACATCCAATTTTCTCTCTCACATGCTTCATAGCCTTCCCTTCACGCCTTCTCTATCTGTTAAGCCAAGGCCAAGTCTATCATCTCAGAGAAAGAAAAACAACCAGGTCTCTCTCGTGGAGCTTTTCTTATCTCCTTCTATTGCGGTGCCCCCAATGAAGATTTTCTTCTGTTTTCACTTGAACCTCTGATTCCTAACAGAGTACAGGTATGAATTAACCTATCGCCTTGACTTCTCCCTTTTTCTTTTCTCTATTCTTGCTTTGGGAAAGAACCCCTGACTACTGGTTCTCCACCATTTCTCTTCCTCCTCCCAAAAATATATTTTCATGTTTCTTTCTCTCTTTTTCTCTTAGATTCCCTCTTATCCATTCTTCAAACCCTCCTTCCATCCCCCAAATACCACATCCCATATTTTCGGCTGTTTCTCTTGGAATCTAGTTACCATATTCAAATGTCGAATGTAGAAAATAGTGACCTTTCTATTCTAGACCCACAAAGCATCAATACCCCCGATTATACACCTGAAACCAGATGATTCCAATAGAAAACTACTGAAACAATCATGCCTAGTCGGCAAAATCTACACCCAGAAAACCTTAAGCGGAAATGTTGTCAAAATTATTTTGATAAAGGCCTGGAAGGCAGAGGGTCAAGTGGAGATTAGAGATGGAGAGAAGGACACCTATATCTTCATCTTCTCCAATGGAAGCCTGAGGGAAAGGGCATTGGAAAAAAGACCATGGTCTATTAAAGCCCAGT